GCTTCAATGATTGGTGTCTTGGAGACTTTGAGTCTAGCTCCCATTGTATTTTATTTTCATGTATCTCTATGAGTTCTCATGTTTGAGACCTTGCTGCAGTTAGACATTTAACGTTGTTAATGCGTTTGGAATACCACTTGTATTCACTACTAGAAAAATGACGTATACGGACCGAACATATACGGAACGAATAGTGTCGGTCCGAATATATTCAGGTGGCACAACATATACTAATCAACATATTCGGACCAGTATCGGTCTGTATCTTTCTGACGGGAATTCACAGTATAAAAGCGCCAATAATATTTAGACCGAAAACGGTCTGAATATTATTTCTGAAAAAATAAGGTTAAATACCCTTTTTGGTCCCTCTACTATAAGAAAAAGCCCCTTTTTAGTCCCTATACCGAAAAAATCCCCTTTTTGATCCTTACTGTTCACAAATCCGGCCCCTTTTTGGTCCCTCCGTTAAATTTTGGCTTACATGGCATGTTAACTAACGGAAAATTTTTTTTTTCTTTACTTAAATTACGTGTGAAATCCATTAGGCAAAACTTGATGACATGGCCAAATTTTTTATTTTTAATTACCAATATACCCTCATTTTCTTCCCCCATCCTCTCCTTCTTTCAGCCTTTTATTTCTTTCTTTTTTTTCTTTTTTTTTCTTACCTTTGCGATGAACCCAGCTGGTGGGTTCGTCGCAATGAACCCAGCTGGTGGGTTCGTCGCGATGAACCCAGCTCGTGGGTTCGTCGCAACGAACCCAGGAGCGTGGATTCGCGACGGCATTTCAAGCGTGGAAAAATGTTAGTTGGTAAGATTGGATTGATTTGGTTAAATGATTCTGTGATCAATTGAGCACCAAGACTTGGGTTAATTAACTGTTTTTAACAGGTTCTTCCAAGAAGGAAGTTGAATAGGTTTTGACATTGAGTGCTGGAATTTCAAATCCTCAATTTTCAATTTCCTGAAATTTTTACTGCTCTTGTGTTTTCTGTTGTTGGATGTTTCTAGAACTGTTTGTTTGAGAAGAACATGCTTTCCTTTTTTTGGCAGGGATTGAGAACCCAGCCCGCGCCTAGGTTCGCGACTTGGTAGAGATTGAGAACCCAGCTTGCATCTGGGTATGTCGCGAACCCAGGCGCGAGCTGGGTTCATTGCCAACCCAATCACATGAGCTGGGTTCATTGTGAACCCAGTCGCGCAAGCTGGGTTCATCCTGGGTTCGCGATGAATCCAGGCGCCTGGGTTCATCACAAACCCGCGAGTTGGGTTCGCCTGAAGGTAAAAGGAAAAAAGGACAAAAAAAAAAAGTTGGAGGAAGTGGGGTGACGTGGAGGGTGACGTGGAGTCCACATAAACATATTTTACGCGTTGGTATACCACATCAGCTGTTTTCCGTTAGTTAACATGCCATGTAAGCCAAAATTTAATGGAGGGACCAAAAAGGGGCCGGATTTATGAACAGTAAGGATCAAAAAGGGGATTTTTTCGGTATAGGGACTAAAAAGGGGCTTTTTCCTATAGTAGAGGGACCAAAAAGAGTATTTAACCAAAAAATAAATATTAAATAACAAAAAATATGAATAAAATAATATTTAAATAAATATTTACGGATCGGCTTCGGTCTGTATATATCCATTAGAAAATATGAAATTTCATTTTTATATTCAGACCGATTTCGGTTCGTATATTTATTATTTTTCGTAAAAAATAAATATTAAATAACAAAAATTAGGAATGAATTATTATTTTTAATGAATATATACGGACCGAAATCAGTCCGTATATATTATGTTGAAAACCGTATATATTAATTTATTATACGGATTGGGATTGGTCCGTATATACGTATCCGGACCGATCCTGATCTGAAAATTTACGTCAGGGAATCTCTGAATTGATTGGACGTGGGTCCCACCCACAGTTGTTTTCGGACCGAGATCGGTCTGGATAAGGCTGCATGCAGCCTTCTTCCTTGCGTTTCGCCCGTCCCCCCCATTCTACATTTCTTCACAATTTTCCTCTGTTTTTTCTTTCTTTTTTCTTCCTCTCCGCTACAAGCTTCTCCTCCTCCAATCTCTGGCCAATTGTAATACCCCAAAATTTTATAGGATAAATAAGTGAGTTTGGGACTTGTTTGAGAAAGAAATATTGTTTTGGGCTTAATAGCCAACATTCCCAAACTTGAGGGACTTAAAGAGGCAAAATTTGGATAAGGATGGCTTATTTCTTGTTCTCCTTTTCCTCTTTCTGCTCAGCCCGATTCTGCTCTTCTTCTTCTTCTTCCCGTTGCAGCCAAAAAAAAAAAAGGAGGAACAAGCAAGCCCGACAGTCTCCCCTCTGAAAATCGGTTGAAAGCTTGAAGATTTCTCTTTCTTTTCTTGTTCCAGAACCCAGAAATCTCTCCCTCTCTGCAGAAACCCAGATCTGGTCGGTTCTCCCCTCCCCTGTCTGTGAGCTGCAGCTTGTGGGTGGGTGATTTTTGGGCATGTTTTCGGTAAGAACAGCCATTAATCCATCCTTTTAGCTTTGATTTAACTTGGGTTTACCTTAATTGCTCTTAGTTTCTTGAATTTTGGGTTAAAGCCGTGAGTTTCCTTCCTTCCATGCCGTCGGTCTTCCCTCCACCAAGTCCGGTTTTGCTTGCTGGAAAATTGTGGGTAAGTTGACAGCTCCTCCAAGCTTGAATTTCATCAATTGTTTGCTGCCTTGTGTGTCCGAATTGTGTTGGAAAAATGGGGAAATTCCGGTAGCAATTAAGAGGGGTTTTAAGTGTGTTTTGTTGCTTAATTCATGTAGAAATTAGTTAATTATTTGCTGTGAGAATTTGGAGGAAAATTCCGTGTGTTTTTGCCAAAGTCATGCTCTCCCTGCTGCCCGTGAGAAATTGGGGGGAATTTTGGTAGCTTAAGCTATGTTTTTAAGCTTGGTTTAAGTGTAAATTGCTTGAGTAGATTGTTGTGATTTTTGGAGAAAAATCCCGTGAATTAGCTAGTGGTTTGCCAATTTTGGAAGTTGGAGTTAGTGTTCATGTTGTGGTCACTGTTCATTGCACTGTTCACAGGTTACTGTTCACACACCGAGGGCCAACAATTAACAAGGATTTAAATGTTTAGTTTGTAATATAAGAATAAATTTGGAGATATTTGATCATGTGGAGATTAATAAGAATAGCATGGTGATTAGGGGGGGTAATCATGATGATTTCAGTTTGAATTTGTGATATTACGGTATTAATTCCGAGGTATTTTGATTAGGTTCCCGATCGTTCTGTCAGTTAGCACCGAGATTGAGTGCTCGATTTTATGCGAGTGAGGTAAGTAAATTTATGGTAATGCCCGTACTATTTTTAAAAGCATGTTTTGATTTGTTTTTGAAGTGGTGGCGGGACTAAACCCGTTTTACACAACTATGATTGATTTGAAATAAGATTTTTATGTTTTTCATTAAATTGAGCATGCCTACTTGGAATCTAATTGATTGTCCTGATGATCTGAAAGTGATTGGTAAATTATGTTTTTTTGTTAACTTCAGCCTGTTTTGTCTTCGATGTGGTCATGTTTCTATAATCCTGCTAGTGGGAGTTAAACGCTAGCACATGTCGGCACATGTCGATATGTTATTGATGATCCTGCTAGTGGGGGTTAAACGCTAGCACATATCGGCACATGTCGATATGTTATTGATAGAACCGGTTCGTTTCTGTAACCCTGTTAGTGGGGGTTAAACACTAGTAATTTCTGTTGCTTGCCAGTGGGAGGTTTATAACACTGGCCGTGACCTATAGAGGAGACGTCTATTTCGTTCCCGTACTGTATCCGTTTTTCATGATTGCACTTGTTGGCATGCTTTAAGTTTGATAAGGGGCACTCCATATTTTACTTACTGAGTTTATCTCATAGTTTTTCCTTATCCACCATTTCAGGAAGTGAAACCGAGGACGGGGAAACCACGGGAAGTGACAAGTTAGAAGGCTAGCCATATTGTAATTGGATATGAAATTTTAGAAACAAATCATGATCTTGTATTTGGAGACTTTATTGGAGATTAATGATATGAGAGCAAATTATAAAATTTGATCTTCAGATTTTGATGGTATCAGATTGTGATTGTGATGTGATAAGTTCTGAGCCTTGTGCATTTGTGGGACCCTCTCACGAGTGCACGGCGTCTGTCACGCCTCGAATTTTTGGTTTGGGGCATGACACCAACCACCGAGGTAAATAACTCTTTTCAGTCGGTTTTTGGTCGGTGATCTTGCTGGTGTTTTTTTTTTTTTTT